TTCGCTCATACCTCTGGGTTCTTTGGGCCTTTGCTTTAGTCTGGGTTTGACTGGAGAGCACCTAAGCTTGGGTGCTTCTGCTCTGTGTGTATCTTGTCTTCCTCCTGGACCAGCAGACTGAACCAGAGCAGCTTTCACATGGTGACGGCAGAAGCAGAAGGCAAGCAGAAGTCGAGCAGAGACCCTTACCATCTCGAGGCTTAGAACTGGCACATCAACACTTCTTTCTCATTCTAGCGGCCAAAGCAAGTCAGATGACTGAACTCCAGTGCTGGGAGGATCTTGCAGAGTTACATGGTGAATGGTGTGGATACAGGAAAGGATGAAGACTTGGGATAATTAATGTGAACCTATTAGAAAAAGTATGATGATAGTAATGAGGCAAGGTTTTTGCACAAAACTCCTCTCAGAGACTCTCATGATCAGCAAGTCCCATCCCTAAGTCCCCTTGTGGTACCCCTGCTGTGCGAGAGTCCAGCTTCCACCAATACATCTCTGGTGCTGACCAGCTCACCACCTCCTGGGATAGATTATTCCAATTGGATGATTTGTAGGAGGTTCTTTCTTGTATCTAACGTATTTTTCGCTTCCTCTCTTTGATCCTGGTTCTGCCATGTAGGTTTCTAGTCTAGCAGCCATTCAAACGACTGAGGGCAGTACACTGGTCCAGTGGGTCTGGCTTAACACTCCGAGTGGGCGAGAGTGAGAGCACAAAGAGGAGCAGGACCATCATCCCCACGGTGGGACACTAGAGTTCACTAGCTCAGCAGAATACCTGATACCTTCTCTTCCCTTACCCTCCATATTCAGCCCCAGGTCAAGTCCTTTGGGACTTATCCCAGCTGGCCATTATCACTTGACTCCACCATCCTCTCTTCCTCTCCACTGACACCTCCCATTTACCTAAGGTGCCATCATCCATCTCTTGCCTGGATCATTGCAGTAGGCTCTTCACTGTACCCACCCTGTCCCACAAGCCACAGTAATCTCTCTAAAATACAAATATGTTCCTGTCACCCCCTGCTAAAAACATTTCTCCATCAGGCATATCTCGTTCCACACTGTGCTCCAGCCTTGGCCTTGGAGATGATCTTTCAGGACCCCCAGCCCCTCCTCATCCAATTCATTGCTTTTGTTCCTTCAGGCATCAGCTTATCTGTCACTTGCTCAGGAAGCTCTCCCTGATCTCCTTGACAAGGTCAGATCTCTCAGTTTCAAGCTCTCCTAACACCATAAACCTCTTTTTTGCAGCAAAACAGAATCTCCAAATTTTCACTCATTTCTGTGATTATTTAATTAGCATCTGCCTCCCCCACTACTCTGTAATGGTAGACCAGTATACTGGTTCAGTGGGGGTGAGGCTGATTGGCAGCCTTTGCGGATTTTTGTGGTGTAAATACAACCACTAAGCAGATTTCAAACTATCAACAATTGCGGCTCACAAAATCCCTGAAAATTTAATCATTGGCTCTCAGGAGTTAGTATGAGCTGGCTCCAGTATACCCCTGGGGCAGGCTTTATATCTAGTTTTGCACCCTCATGACCAATAAAGTGTCTGGAAGATAACTGAAGAACCATAAATATTTGGGGAATGAATGAGTGAAGAATACTGGAATTTAAATGACCCTGCAGGACAGCAAGTGCTTTTTCCAGAAGATGCAAGACTTGGAATGCCTACCCTAAGAAAGGAATAAAGGAGGGATGACACACCTGTTTTCTGAAGACTGTTTATATATTTATTTAACAGACATGTCTAAATCAGTCACAAATCCAAGTGCTTTACAAATACCAACCCATTTAATCCTCATAACAATTGAAAAGTAAACACTATTGGTACCCTCATTTTTTAAAAAAAGGAAACTGAGGCTCAGAGAAATGTGCCAAGGTGGTGGAGCTGGACTTTGCATCCAGGAAGTATGACTGCAGAGCCCACGCTCCTAACCACTATGCTGTGTTCCATCAGGATCAGTTCCGGAAATGAGACTTGACCCATTTTCCCATCTTGTCCCAACCTAAGTACATCCACCTCGTGGACACAGGTGTGCACTCTTCAAGTCTCTGCCCCTCAGCAAAGAAATAATGAGGTCGAAAAGGTCCAGAAATGAGGCTCTGAGGTGACGGAGGGACATATGGGCTCTTCTATGAACAGAGGAACAAGATAAAGGCTTTTCCAGAGCCATGATATAACCATGGAATGGACTTCAAATATTTATATACTAAATTCTAACAGGAGGAAATTGACCTGGTCAACTTTCATAAAGGGAAACATTAAAACTTGAGGGGTGAGTTGGGACATTAGAATATGTACAATGTTCTCTGCACGTGGTCTCATTTCAGCTCTAAGACCACCCTGAGAGAGAATAATCAAGCCCGTTTTGATAAATGGAGGACATCAAAGCTCAGAGGTTAGGGGATATACTCAAGGCACAGAACTACCATCAGCAGAACTGAGCCCAGGTTCCTGCCAGGATGGCCGGCCCCTGCCCTCTCATGCTGGCTCAATGTTACTTTCCAAGCGGGTCTCGTAGAATCATAGCTGCTCAGAGGAAGTCAATTCCTAGAGCTAATTATTCTAAGGAGCAGTATAAAGTGAAATGTAATTAGATTTAAAGGAGGTTTACAGAGATTGCCTCATATTGCAATGATAAGAGTAGGGAATGTATCTTTTGACGCAGTTGTTCATTTAATAAATGGACTCCTAGGTACTATGTTCCTACTGTGTGCAGGGACTGTCAAGGTCAAAGATGAATTCCTTCCTTTATTGCCCATTCTCTGTGCAGCACTGAAGATCACCCCAAAGAAAATGAAAGAATTGATGTGGAGTTTTAGTATGGGAGAAAAATGGCATTAATTTAGAAGGAAAGGCTGGAGCAATCAGATTGGAGGGTAATTTTGAATGCCAAGATCAGCAGTTTGATTTTGTCCTGTGGGAAGAGGAGAGCCAATGAAGATTTTCAAGCAAGGAAATGATATCATCACCACCACCACCATCATCATCACAATAATAATCATAGCTACTGTTTATAGAGTACCTACTCTGCTCAAAGCTGTTAGCCTTCATGCTCACCCAGTGAAGTCAGAACTCACATTAACCCCATTTGGTAGAAGAGGAACCTGAAGTGAGAGAAAACACAGCTCATAAGAGGCACAGCCTGGATCTCAACCTACATCTACTTGAATACTCTCACCTTAATCACTCTGCAGGATCTTTGATTTCAAACATACCCTAGACGGTACATGGGGATGGAGGTTTAGGAGCCAGCAGCATTTAGTTGGCTAAGGGCATAAGAAAGATCAAATTTAAGAGAAGAGAAAAGAGCAGAGAAGCAGGAAGAGAAACAGTAACTGAGGCAGGCAATGTCAAGGAAATCACAAAGTATGAATTTTAAGAAGGAAAGAAGGGGGGTTACAGTGCAGAAAATTACCTAGAGGTCAGGCAGAATGGGGATGGACAATAAACTGTAGGATCTGCCAAATTAAGAAGGCTTCCAGGACTCCACAGACAGCATTTTTGGAGGAGTGGTGCGGGTGGGTGCCAGATTGCTGTGGGCTGAGGAATGAGTGGGAGGTGAAGACAGGGCCGGCAGCATGTAAACTTACTCTTTCAAGAAATATGATAGTGAGGGGGAAGGGAGGAAGGAGGCCTGAAAGGGGAAGATGGTGGCAGGGTTTTCTGGGGGGATGGAGGTGGGGAACCACAGAGCAGTAGTAAGCCAGAATGAAAGAAGAGGCTGAAAGCAACAAGACAGGGAGGCTCTCTGAGAGAGCCCCAGAGGGAGCTCCAAGGGATAGAAGGAGAGTAGAGTGCATGGTGTCTGTGAGAACTCATGTGGCTGGAATTCTCCAGGGCAGTGAAATGATGGCAGATCTGATGATCTCTGTGGCCCCTTCCAGATCAAATACTGTTTCCCTTTCCTCCCTTCATCCCTCCTTCCTTCTCTTCCTTCCTCCTCTCTTAACACAAATATTTTCTGAGCACCTACTATGTGCTAGGTCTTGTGGTAGGCTCTGGCTGGAGCTATTATAAAGAGCAAGACGGTGTGTATCACATCATCTTTACAATTGAGTGGGGAGACAGATATTAAACAAGAAGGTAACAAATATGCATATGTATGTGACTACACATTGTATGAGAATACTAACAATTGCTAATGTTCATTGAGTACTTCAAATGTACTCCTTTATAAGATTTTCTCACTAACTCCACACACACATGCACACCGCACAAAACCCGTAAGAAAAACTCTACTCGTATTCTTCCCTTTTTTCAGATGAGGAAACTGAGGAACAGAGAGGTCAGATGACTTCACACAGCTAAGACAGGTGGACCCTGAGATTCAAATTAGATTTGCCCATCTCTAGACAAGAGCGCTTAGCTGCCACACTGTCCTGATTGACCGTGTTTACAGTAGCAGGCACCAGGGAGAACAAGAGCTAAAGGTGCTTCCACCCTGGGGGTGCTGCTAGCCTGAGAACTGAGAAGAGACCAAGAATTAACTCATTCCCTTTTTCCAAGTGTGGTCTTGGTCCCAGCAGCACCCATAGCACTCAGATGATGGTTAGAAACACAGAAGCCCCGTCCAGCCTCACCCAGTAAATCGGGAGGAGCAGTTTAAAAAGACCCGCAGGTGCACTGGTGGGCATACTGAAGTTGGAGAACCCTGGTCTGGAACCCGCTTCTCTTAGAGATGGGAGACCGAGGCCCAGGCGTTTGGAGGTTACAGAGAGTGGTGGAACTTGGCTTGGTGTCAGGAGCCCAGCCGAGGCCTGAACCGGCGCTTCCACTCTTGTCCTGAGGCCACTGGGTAGGGCGACGCGAAGGGCGGGCGCGCAAGGCGCTCGGCGCGCGCGAGGTGTTCGGCGCGCGCCAGGTGCTCGAAGGCTCCCGGGCCGAGCCCGGCCGGGCCGCCGCGCCGCGTCTCCGTCCCCGTCCCCGCGCTGGCCCGGCCCGGCCCCTCAGCTCCACCCCCTGCCTCCCCCTCCCGCCCGCTCGCGCCTCCTAAAAAGCCAGCCCGCCTGGGGCGGCGGCGCAGAGCCGGGCCCGGCGCACGAGGCAGCCAGCGCGGCCATGACGGCGGAGAAGGCGCTGCCTCTGGGCAATGGGAAGGCTGCCGAGGAGGCGCGAGAGTCCGAGGCGCCGGGCGGCGGCGGCAGCGGGGGCGCGGCGGCCGCGCGCGACAAGCGCGAGAAGACAGTCCACGAGCGCGGCCACTGGAACAACAAGGTGGAGTTCGTGCTGAGCGTGGCTGGGGAGATCATAGGGCTGGGCAACGTGTGGCGCTTCCCTTACCTGTGCTACAAGAACGGAGGAGGTGAGGCGGCCCGCGGCGCTGGGGAGACCTGAGGTGTGGGAACCCGCCGGTGGGGGCGGGGGCCCAGGGGCCAAGCGCGAGACCCCTCCTGCGTCTGCGTGTGGTGGGACCCTCGCGGGAAGGCCCGCCTCAGGCCACCTGGCGCGAGAACTCAGTTGGCGAGGAGCGCCTGTCCCAGTGCGCATGCACGCGAGCTGTTTCGCACCTCAAAGTGCAGCCTGAGAGCACGCGGGGACTTGTTCGCCAGGTGCGTTGTGTCCCGGCTTGAGGTGCAAACCAAGACCAGGAGCCCTTGCTTTTAGTTCCTGCACTGATTGATGTTTGGGGCAGGAGGCAGCCTGTTTGAGCCTCAGCTTTTCTGACTAGAAACCCAAGTGAAGGAAAGAGACTCTGGTATCAGAGTAAGCTCGGTTTTGAGGGCTTAGTGAACTGCCAGGCTCCAGAACTGAGGTTTACCCACATCATCTCATTTCATCCTCACAGTCATCTTTGTAGACAATGGTATACCCATTTTGAAGATGAGGAAACAAAGGATCAGAGGAGGCATTCAATGATAATTAAAGACGGTATTCTAACACCAAAGGCCTTGTTTTAAACTGGGATTGAACTGACAACAGGGAGAACTTTTAGAAGAGGCATTGCTGTTTCATTTCCTGCCCAGTCTTTTCATTTGCTCTTAGGGACTTTTCTGGGACCTCTTTTCGGACCTGTCTGGTGGAGGAATCGGCACTAAGCAGTTTCTTTTCTGATCTCAGTCACCTGTTAACAAATAGCAACACTGAATTAATGTTTAGGAGATGCTTAGAGATTTAGGGTTGGGGGCGCTACAGGAAGACAGTGATGAGAGAGTCGTTCCTAGTGACAAGATGTCCAAGTCAATTTGGTGGAGATGCAGCAGTGAGTCCTCAAATCTCCCAGCTCAAGGAAGGGGTCCAGGCTTAAGCTTCCACCTGTCACATCAGAAGGACAGCCAGCAGGTCCATGGCAAGGGGCCTTGTAAAACCTCCATGGGCGGCACCTTCTCTCCAAGAAAAAGCCTGTGTCTATGTATTCCTCCCTCTTTGCTGTGTCCCTGCCCCTCCAGCAGATCCCCAGACCCCAGAGAAGGTGGCTGGCAGGTAGCACCCTGTTAGGCCACATGGAGCAGGACTTCCTGTGTGAGCGGCTGCAGAGAGAGCAAGAAGGCTCGCTTTGCTCCAGGCCCTTTCTTTGCAGACATTCATCCTGAAGCCTGCTCTGCACTGGTAATGAAGTGACTGCCGATGTTGGTGGCTTGGCAAGAGGGAGAGAGGGAGTGGACTTGGAGACCTGGAATGTCCCCTGCGCCTTCAGCTGTGAATCCTGCCTCTCTTTGCAGATTCAGCCTTTATAAGCTTCCATGTTTGCTCAGAAACTTGTGGAAACCCTTTAGAATAGTTCCAGGCAAAAATTGTCTTAACGTCTTTTTTATACAGGAAATTGTTAGGCCAAAACAAAAGGCATTTTTCTAAAAGCAGAAAACAGGGTAAGTTGGGTTAATTACAAATTCTGCCACAGATTAAAAAAAAGGTTGTAGTAAGTAAAGTTTAAAAATGAGTCATGAGTCATTTTCTTTCCTTTTTTTTCCTTTTTTTTTTTTACTCTAACTTGCCCAGAGTCTCCACTGGGTATAGAGAAGAGATATCCTGGTTTAATTGAACTAGTTATCTTAAGGATTACTATCTTGGTGAATGTATAGGCCATAAAGCCTTTCAGAAAGTGTCATCTGTTACGTTTTAGAGGATTCACAGGTAAATTACCTCATATTGGGGAGCCTGCCTCAGCTTGTTTTAATCACTTAGATTTAGATTCAGCAAACAGACCCTCTTGTCCCCTTTCACACACTTTTTGCCTTCTAATATAGTTGGGGTATCTTCTTATTAACTGTTTTCCTTTAAAAAAATACCTACACAGCTGTACTCATAGTCAACAATAGTTTAAAGTATTTCTTTTCCAACGTGAAACTTTATAAAAATAGTCTCTTGTCCAGAAAAGCTAAGACCTCTTCAAAACCTGGTAGATATATTCAGTCTATCAGGATTGATCAAAATTGTTGCTACTAATCCTGAGGTTAAAGAGACTTCATTTAGCAAAAAGCAATTTTGGTTAAAGCCTTCATTTGTGAGATCAAATAGTGGGGAATAGCATGTGTTTCATGCTTTGTTATTAGACAGGAGAGAGAATGAGGGATTTGGAAAAATCCCTTTCTGGTTGTAATAGCTCATGTTCACCTCAGTTATTTAATTTCTTTAACTGAAAGGCCCAGGCAATGGGTATTATGTTTCAAGATAGGAGCAGTAAAGCTTACCATGGTCTTTTCTCAGACTGATTCTAAGCCAGCCTTTCTGGACAGATAGATTCTTGCTGCAAAGTCTTTATAAGTCAACATCCTACCTGGGCTTTGTGTATAGAGGCCTGATAGTGCTCACTGTATATTTCCTTGAGAATGCTTTTCTTAATGAAAAAGAATTTTTGCAGGTCACTGCCAAAGAAATTAAAAAGAAAGGGTCCCTTCTCACCTGACCTATTGAGGTTAGTTCAGAATGAAAGAAAAGGATGTAACATTTAGGAAGGGAAGGGATGTAACCTGTGCTGGAGGGGAAATGTATAAATAAAAGAATCGAACAAATAAAACCCTTTCTTTTGCATTATTATCTTAGCTGCATGACAATTCTGGGAGATAAGTGTTACAGATATTAAGTATTAAAGCTCGATTTTACAGATGAAGAAGTTGTGGCTCGGAGATGTAAGCTTACTCAAGGTAGTAGGTGACAGGAGCACAAACCCAGGGCTATGTTTTCTGATTCTGATTGTTATAGTGCAGACTTGACCTCAAGCTCAGAGGACATCATGTCTTACCTACAGTAGGTGCTTATTTAAGATTTCTTGTCCTGAACATGAAATGGTAGGGGCAATTTTAACCTCATTCTCTTACTTTGCATCCTTGCAGGGGCATTCCTGATTCCCTACGTGGTGTTTTTTATCTGCTGTGGAATTCCTGTCTTTTTCTTGGAAACAGCTCTGGGACAGTTCACAAGTGAAGGTGGCATTACATGTTGGAGAAAAGTTTGCCCTTTATTCGAAGGTAACTGTTGAATTACTCAGAAAATAAAATGATGCCTATCAGGCCATGAAAGTAGCTACAACTGTTTTAAGGGGTGGAGTGAGATTCAGATTGTTCCCTTTCCATTGTTCTTTCAGGCATTGGCTATGCAACACAGGTGATTGAGGCCCATCTAAATGTCTACTACATCATCATCCTGGCCTGGGCCATTTTCTACCTGAGCAACTGCTTCACCACTGAGCTCCCTTGGGCCACCTGTGGACATGAATGGAACACAGGTATGGCCTCCAGGGAGGGTCTCTTTGCTGGTCCTGCTGGAGGACCTGGAATTGGGGGTGTGTCCTTGTCCTGGAGACCAATTCTAGCTCCTGGCCTCTTCCCATGAGTCCAGATTCCACTGAAACTGGAGCTCAGTTCTGCACTGGGTCTGGGTACATTCTGTGGGCTGCTTCCCTGAGCCACAGCTGAGCACTGGCCCAGGAGTTGGGCATGGATGGAAGAATGGTCATGCTCTTCCATCACTTTGCTAAATACAGAGACTGGGCCCTTCAGGATCAGAGTGCAGGTGTGAGGAGTTCAGGCTCCCACTCCAGCTCTGCCTTTCTGGGTGTCAGATGTTCCTTTATGAGACGGAGGAGTTAGACTAGATAAAGGGTTACAAACCAGGAACCTATAGCCAATTAGGCATTAGATCAGTGATTAGCAAAGTTCAAAATGTATTCAGCTGTCAAAATTTAAAAACCAGAAGACTTCCCATGAAGTCTTCCATGAAAGCATGAAGAAAAGATTCACAGTTTCTCCTGAAAAATTAAAAGATCTGTTAACACCAGACCCACATTCCCACATTCTTGCTTGGCAGTAGTGCTGCAGCTGAGAAAGAGTTGTTGCCTTTGGATAAGGCATCTGTCCTCAAGTTGGCTACAGTCCCCACCCAATCCAAATTGCTTATTTACTCTACCTGTCCAACCTAGGTAGATACTTGAATTCCACTCCCACTACCCCCTTGAATGCACAGCTTTTTATATTACTTTGGAGTCTAATAGTCTTTGCTTTTCAACTTGTCATCCTGTCAAGACTGAGTCTTATAATCCACAGACGACAAATACATTTCCAACCTCTACCTTTGGTGGCCATGAGCAGTGCTCCAGGCAGCCATTGGAATTGGCACACCTGCTTAGAGCTATTTGTCCTCCGTGTTATACCCTGTGATTAGGTTGACCCTACAAGTGACCTGTCATCCTGAAGGCTGAGATAGAGTAAGACTGGGTAGGAGGTTGGCCATCAGCAGACGTAACAGAATGCATTAAGCCTAGGGAGTGCTGCAGACTAGCTTCTAGTCCTGCATGACTTTGCCCTGCTCCCCCACCTATTGCATTTTGTGGAGGTCTTACTGTCTTTCTTTAAGGCATTGTTTCTTAACCTTTCTTTGGTCAGAAACCTCATAGAGATATCTATCAAAGTAAAATTCAAAGACCATTTCTCTCTTAGAGACCAGTGAGTCTTCAATGATAATTTAATTGTGTGTATTTATTTTGAGGATACTCTAAAAATGGGCACATATTCAGGATTATCTGCACAACCACCTTATAACTGAAGACAGCAGATTTAGTCCCTGACTTGATGCATATTTGTAATTTAAGATGTGTTCTTGGTAAGTAGGATGATGGTGGCCAATGGAAAGAGCAGAGAGGTTTAATTTATACATGGTGTTTTGGTACTAAGTGAAGTCAGTAAAGAGTGCTACAAATTGTAGGGCTGAAAATATCACAGAAGTGTGACCAGAATAAAATGGTGGTAGAATTGAGTCTCCAATAGCTTATGGAATAGACAAGCTGAATGCAGTAGACCCTGCCTCCCACCTGTCTGTTCCATTTTTTTGTTGTTGGGAAATCCATTTAATTTCACAAAATAGCATTATCTTATATACATCCATTTTATGCTACCAATTTAAATTATGTTGGTTCCTTAGTTTAGTTGGTATTTAATTTGTAAATTTAATTCTGGTTTTATAGCTGTATGAATGCTATAATCATAGAGACTTTATAACTTATTGTTTACTTGTACAGCAATTAAATATCACTTTAATAAAAATACCTTGTCCAACTTGGGTGTTTGAGAAATTTTTTACTCTAGAAAAAAAAGCAGGGGAAATACTATTGTAGAGACTTTGATCAAAATTAAGGGCCCCTCTCAGCAGGAAAAGGCACAAGGGCACATGCAGACATTTTGGCTGTAGTATCAGGTTTCCACACTCCTCTCAGGACTGTCTGTGGAGCCCACAGACCACCTCCTTTCAGAATATGGTCTGCTCTTGCTGGGAGGAGTGGGAATGAGGCAGACGATTGGGGAATTTTCCCTAGCAGATTGCAAACCTTCTTTCCACAGATTTTCAGTCTCCTTTCTCTAACAGCATATGAACACTTGCAATGTGAAAAACATCACAAACAAAAGATGGTTTCTGCTCCAGAGATATAGTGAGAGGGCTTGTACACGTGCAAGAGTGAAGTGCCAGACTGAGGCCAAACACTGGCTCAATGCTTGCCACTATGCTGGGTGCAGTGGCTCCAAAGTGAATTGGTGCAGGAGGCACTGCCCTTGGGGAGTACAGTCTGGTGGCCAAGGCACCTCTGTAAACACAGGGGTGCTGTAAAGAGGCACAGGTTTCCCTGGTGGCAGGTAGAACTGGGCCATAACCATGGCAAAGGGAATGGAGTCTAGGCTGGAACTGATTCCTAGGTCTGTCCCTAACGGGCTTATGACTTTGTATAGAATGGAAAGGATGTGGGTGTGAGTCCCTTGACTATTTCTGAACCTTAGATTCTTCCTCTTCAAAATTAAATGAGTTGGAGAAAGTGGTTCCTTGGAAGGCTTTTAAATTCTAACTTCCTTAGAATTTAAGAGAGGAGATCAAGGAAGTCTTCCTGGAGGAGGGGGTTGAACTGGGCCTTAAAGGATGAAAACTTGGATGTTTTTACTTGAGATTCAAATCTCCCATGGTCATCAAGTATCATGAAATGAGGAGAGACATTCAATATATTCTTTCTGGGATTGATTATTGATCAAGTGAGGGAATGGTGAAGAACACAGGAATTCTTTACACATGTAGGCTGACATCATCTCATCCTATTATCATGTCTTTCTGAGGCAGCTGCACTATTAGCTTCTCTTTATGTGAAGGAAAACTGAATCTCAACTGCATTACTGCCCTAAGGACACCATGACCGACTCATTCTGTTACTCCTCCATTCCTGCTGGGGCACTGAGCAGGACAGCTAAATGCCATGGGCAGGCCTTCAGCAGAAAAGTGGAAAAAGGGAAAGGAGATTCAAGTACAAGGCAGGAGGAAGGCTTTGATAGGGCATATTGAGTAGAGATGAGAGAAAAGGCACCATGCCCCCAAAACTTTCCTCCTGTTCAAATCAGACCCGACCTCTCTCTTGAACTGTTTGTAAGTTATTGATCTCCCCCACCAATGTGCTTTGAAGCATGTTTACTTGAAACGGCTAAGTAAAACTGCCTGGTTGCACCATCAGCTCTGAATGTTTTCCAAGATCCAGCCCTTGCAGAGGTTAATCTTGTATTTCTTGTCTTGTTTCCACTGTAGAAAATTGTGTGGAGTTCCAGAAACTGAACATGAGCAACCACAGTCATGTGTCCCTGCAGAACGCCACCTCTCCTGTCATGGAGTTTTGGGAGTAAGTGAAAAATGACTTGTCTCCCTTGGCCTGTGGGGGCTCTGTCCTGGTTCTGCTCAATTAACATTATCCCCACCTCTGGAAAAAGCCTGACCCTTCCTTCCTCCAGCCTCACACTTGCTGGCTTCTGTGGGCATTTGACTGCTTTGGGGACCAGAGTGGAGATTTTTAGAGGTTTCCCAAAGGAGCAGCTGAGAGAAATGCTTTCTTATTTGATGACGTGTCAGCATGCCTAGGTGCTTATTAGGGTAAGATGTGCTTGGTAAAATGATAGACGGTTTAAAAATTCATTTTTAACAAAAGGGAAGATAGGGCATAAATGCAGTAAGCTAAGTCAAGAGTATATTTAGCCTGGAAAGTGGAAGTCTCCAGGGGGACCCCTTTAGCTTTCTTCTAAGCTAAAGTGTTATGTGGAAAGGAAATAGATCAACTTTAATGGATAAAGGTTATAAAGATACAGATTTCAAATGTGCTTAAGGAAGAGCTTAATCTCACAGTGTTGTCTGCAAGTACTTCCAGAGGTTGTGATGGCCCTTCCTGGGAAGTGTTTGACTAGCATCAGGGCTGCTGATCGTTGTTGGGAGGTGTCTGAGTCCACTGACATAGGCAGTAATTGTGTGGATGGGCATTTTCCATCAGTGTTCCAAAGTGGTCTATTACCATGGCTGCCATATATGGTGGTAGGAGTTGTTCACTGCACAACACTAGGGAGCGCATCGTTATATTGTGAAATGAGCACTCTAGAATTGTGCAATGCCAACCCACATAACAGTACAGTGGCCTGACCTCTGTAGTCGAGGTAGGAGGATCCCTTGCTCCAGGTATTGAAGAAGAGCTTTCTCTGTGGGTGAAAGGTTGGGCTAAATGCTTTCTGAGGCTTTTCAATTTGAAAAAGGTCTGACTCCATTGAAGAACATCCCCTACCCTAATCCCTAATGCTGATTAATAGTAGTGTAGAGGGGCAGTGGTTTTATGAGTGATTTTAATTCTTCTCCCAAATACCCTTCTCCTTGCCTTTCCAGAGGTCATCATTCTGAATTTAGATTTATCATTCTCATGTATATACTTGATATGCGTGGATGTGTGTGGGGGGCTATAATAAGTATATATAAGATAGTTCTATTTACACACACATGTGTATAAACACATACATACCCACACACCTTTATATAGTATCTAGGTCTTGCTTGTTTTAAAATTTTATATTAAAGGTATCCATTACTTATAATTTTTTACAACTTTGTTTCTTTGCTCAATATTGGTTTTGAGATGTTTCCATGTTGATAATACATGTAGCTTAGGTTCATTTACTTTTTTTCCTGCTATACAGTATTCCAATGCATAGACTACATTGCCTTTAGCCAGCTCCTCTTGATGGGCATTCAATTGCCTCTCATTACTATTACTCTCAATTCCCACTATTACTAAGCACACTGAGTGAATGTCTTGTCTGTGCTTCCATGTGTGCATGAATGAAGGTTTCTAGGCCATAGCTGAGAGTGGAATTACTGGATGGTAGAGTGCATGCATTATCAGTTTTATCAGATGCCAAACTGCTCTCTAAAAGGATTGTTCTAATTCACTCTCCAAGCATAGAGACTCTGTGAGATGTTCATAGCATCTTGTGAAGAACTGTTAGGTCCACATAAATTTGAGAAGGGCTGAAAGCTGTGTCCTTCAGCAAGAATGTCCATTAATTTTAATTAACCCAAACACCCAATGTATTTTCCTGTGGAATCATTTGGAATCTTCCCCCACCCCCACCCCTACTCTCTGAATGCTAGGTTTCCATTAAACACAGTCTGACAAATACTTTGCTAGGAGGAAGCTCTTTCTTAAATTCAACTGACAGGTGACTTCTGGGGCTTTGGATAGAACATGTTTAATTTCTCTTCCACATAACAGTCCTTCAGGTATTGGACCAGGTTTCCTCAGACATATTTCTTCTCTGCTTCTTTGCTATTTGCCTGTGTGGCTGGCTCATCGATGATCCCCCACCCCTTCTCACCTCAGTTCACATTTGAACAGTTCACAATTTGAAAGGTTCACATTCTTTCCTCATTGCCTTTAACTCCAGGGAACTCATCCAGGGCCACTTTGCTTGGTCAAAATAGACTGTCTCAACTGGCTGCTTGTTCATTCATTCAGTGTCTGAGCACCTAGCACATGTAGGAAGACCACTGTGCATAATTGGAGGAGGCAGAAGGGTAAGATGCAGTCCTAGCCCTCTAGAAGCAGAGGTGAGACGAGCCCACAGGTGACCATAAAATCAGTTGCAAAGTGTGATTTTCCTGCTCACAACTGGCTGTGGTTCACCTTGACCTTGGGCACCTGGCCCACCCCTACCCCCTATCTTGAACGTTCATTTCCTTTTTCAGAGTATAGTTAAAATTACTGGCTTAACATACAAAAGAAACAAATCCTACCATTTGCAACAACATGGATGGAGCTAGAGGGTATGCTTAGTGAAATAAGTCAGGCAGAGAAAGGCATATACCAAATGATTTCCCTCATTTGTGGAGTATAACAATGAGGCAAAACTAAAGGAACAAAATAGCAGCAGACTCACAGACTCCAAGAAGGGACTAGTGGTTACCATAGGGGAGGGGTGGGGAAGGGCGGATGGGGAGGGAGGGAGAAGGGGATTGGGGGCTTTCATGATTGGTGCACATGGTGTGTGTGGGGTCATAGGGAAGACAGTGTAGCTCAGAGAAGACAAATAGGGACTCTGTGGTACCTTACTACACTGATGGACAGTGACTGCAGTGGGATATGGGGGGCACTCAATAAGGGTGAATGTAATAACCACATTGTTTTTCTTATGAAACCTTCATAAGAGTGTATATCAATTAGACCTTAATAAAAAAAATCATACAAACAGGAAATAGGTGGCTGCTAAGGGTAGGGGGAGGGGAGAGAGAATTAGGGTTTAATGAGTACAGTGTTTCAGTTTTGCATGAAGAAAGATTATAGAGATTAGTTGTGCAATGTGAATATTCTGAACATTACTGAACTGTACACTTAAAGATGGTTAAGATGATAAATTTAACTTAATGTGTTTTTGAATAACAATAAAACAATATGAAGGAAAAAAAAATTTACTGGCTTAAGCCAGTGGGAGGAACTCAGACCCTGGGTCAGTCCTGGCTTCCGAATCAGGCAGGGAGCCTATGAGACAGGGGCAGTTTGTCTTCCTGATGACAGGCTTCAAAATTAGGCCATCCTGTTTTACCTTGGTAACCCATTATGCATCTTGCATCTATCTAAATATGTTTGCAGTTCTGATTTTAAGCCTGGGTCCTCTGGTAGGACTGAGTGCTATAAGTAAGTCACCAGCATTTGGCCATCTTTACTTCCCTTTCTTAAGCCCTGCAGTCCCATTAATCCAAGGGTTTGCAAGCAAGTCCATGTTGATGGTGTATACAGTTGAAATCACTTTTGCATGGTGTCCATTCAACAAACATTTGTTGAGCACGCATTGTGAATTGGGCCCAAATTTAAGCTCTTAAGTGTAGTCAGTTCCAATTCTTTGTTCAGAAGGACGAGGCCTTGTTTTTCTGGTTTATCTTTACTGGAGTTTTTAAGATGTGTTTATTTCTATATCACGTAACCACTCAATTGATTTTCTTTGGATACATATTTTGGGAGGCAGAGGAGCTGGCATGAAATCCTGATTCTTTCCGTAGTCCCAACCCATTCCTGCCTCCCTCTCAGACTCTTCTTCTTTTCTGCCATTGCCCTGCTCCCCACTGGCCTTTTTTCTGTCCTTTGTATGTACTACGCTTGTTCCTGGCTCAGTCTCAGGATTTTGTTGTTCCATTTGTTTAAAAGATTCCTCACCAGGTCCTGTGTGTCTGGCTCCTTCTTACCATTGGAGTCTTGATTCAAATGTCATTTGGGAAGCCCTTCCTGACCATCTCAGCTGAATCAGCAGCTAGTCTCTCTCAAGCCCACCCCTCTGTTTTATTGTCTAGAGAGTATTTCTCTGAAATCTCCTGTCTTGTTTACTTGCTTATTTTCTCTCTCCCCCCATTAGAATAAAAACCCCATGCCAGCAAGAACTGTCCTGTTTTGTTCCATGTTGCCTTGGCAGCACATTGTCGGTGCTGTGAGGATTAAAGGAGGTAACGCGTGCTAAGAACTTTGAAGGGCTGTGAGTGGGGTGCCTCAGTTAGCACCTGGTTCTGAGGCTCGGTGCCCCACCTGGCCTCTGCCCTCGCAGGTGCAGATTCAGGGCTGAGCCTTGTGTGATTGGCCTGTGTGCCTGAAGTAGCCTTTGTGCCTCCTACTGCAGGGTCAGAAACATCACCTGGACCCTTTCCCTAAGTCAGACCCAACACCACATGGCACTGTCTATCTACCTCTGCTAGTTTGGACTACCCCTCCACTCCTGATACTTTACCGGATTCACAGCCATAGTGTAGACTCAGCGGCAGATTCTGCAGCCCCGCTTAAGTCATTGCTTTCTCCATATGCCCAGTGCATGACCCTGGGCAACTTAGCCTCCCTGGCCCTCTGTCTGCTCCTCTGATAATGGGATGGAAAGAGGACCTGCCTCCCAGGGCTGTCAAGAGCATCAGATGAGGGGAGGCCTTACGCTTTGCACATCTTAAGTGCTCAAGTTTGGTAGTAATGTTACAAGGAAGACTTCATCCTGATCTTTGAAAGTCTACATGGGTTCTCTTCAGTGTTCTCAGAGAAAGCTCACCAGCCAGATCTGTTTGCCCCTCATTGTGGACCTGGAGAACTCTCTTAGTGCATTTTCTTCACTTGATTGTTCTTTCAGTATTTTCTGAGAATCTACTGGGTGCTAGGTACCTTATCAGTAGCCAGAAAAATGAGGGGGATGTTATTTGTCTCCAAAGAAGCACACACTCTGGTGGGGGGTGGGGGGTGGAGCTGAAAAGCAAAAGATAATAGTAAAAAATAAAAGGACAGTTTTTGAAGTATAAGATAATAGATGCCTGTAGGATGCTTGCATGGAGCCAAGATGAGGAAGC